CTGCAGCGGGCGCCAGCGATGCGCCCACTGCTCTCATTGGTAAAGTTTTGATCTTTCACAACTTAAATGTACGTTGTGATTGTGTCTTAACTTATTGTATTGTTTTTCAGCTCCGCAAGATTATGCTCACATTTTTTGCGCTGAACCGACTATCAAGAAGAAACTTCCGCCTAAAAAAGCCGAGAGCCGAATGCCCTCTGTTCTTATCGATGCCAAGCAAAACGCTAAATCTAACGTTGGAAAAGCTGAAGCCAAGGCCAAGGGCAAACCCAATGCAAGCAGTGGTGGTCGTGGCCATGGCAGCAGTCACTCGTCCACTAAGCCGACGGCCAGCAAGGCAGCTAGCAGCAGCAGCCATAAGGAGACTAGCTCCAAGCATGAGAAGGATGAGGGCGATGAGGAGGGCTCAGGGTGTGCTTGCCTCATTTTGTAAGCCCACAAGCTCAGAGGATGGTTCTCTCAGATGCAACTAACTTTGACATTCTGCATTTGACACGCCGTCACTTTGATGGAAAAAGGGCAAATTAATTGTTTATTTTTACAAGTGCTCAAATTCAGAAAATTGCACTGTTTTTTCAAATATTAAAACTTTTTAACTTTTTGAAACAATGTTCTTTCTTGATATAAACATCGATTTTAGAATTTTCACTACGTCTTTAAAAACTCTTACTGTGTCGCAATACAATGACTCACTTATTTTTTTTACAAAATGGGACCAGTCAATAAAGACAAGGCTTGCGAACTTGATCAAAAGACAAAGAATGTGCTTCTTCACAAAGGCTACAGTGTGGGCAACCTACTGGGAGCAGGAGCGTTTGGAGAAGTTTACAAAGGAAAACGCCTTGAAACAGATCAAGACTGTGCTGTCAAAGTGATGAATCTTGATAAGATGTCAGAGCGCTTTAGAAAGCGGTTTTTGCCTCGAGAATTAACAAGTCTTATGGAGATTCGTCATGAAAATATTGTTCGCGTATGGGATATATTCAAGTCTAATCGAAAAATTTACGTGCAAGTTTTTTCGCAATACTTTGTGAGCATAATAATGATTGTATTTTTTAAAAAGGTTTATGGAGTTTGCTCCGAACGGAGACCTGGCTTCGGTTTTGAAGAAAAGAGGCGCATTAAGTGAAACGCAAACTCACCACTGGTTCACTCAATTGGCAAAAGCACTTTATTACCTTCACGAGGAAATGTTCACTGCTCACAGAGACATCAAAATAGTAATTTTGGGACGTTTTTGAATTATTGTTAACTTTTCTTTTGCAGGACAACATTCTTTTGGATGAAAATTGGAATGCAAAGGTTACGGATTTTGGGTAAACTATATTTTTAAACCTTGTCAATTTGTTTTTCAAAGTTTAATTCACTCAGATTTGCCGTAGAGTCAGTCAACGAAGAAGGTTACACTATTCTTCGGAAAACGTTCTGTGGAACAACCCCGTACTACGACCCACAGCTTGCCCTAAAAAAACCGTACGACCCATTTAAGGAAAGTAATCTCATCGTTGAACTATTAATAAATAGTTTGATCGTTTGCAAGAAACTGAAAAAAGTTATGATGTTACTCTCACAGTGCTTTTCCACTGAAAGAGCCACACAAGTGGCTGTAGCTTTTTGCACTGCTCAAAGAGACGGCAAATATCATAACTTTTTTCAGTTCCTTGCAAACGATCAGTCTAGCCTTAAACATTTGTAATTTTATTTTTACTACTTTAATAGGCTGATGTTTTCGCTTCCGGCGTAGTACTGTATGCAGTATGTATCATTTAGATCACTTTTGTAGACGCTAAGCGTCCCCAAAATCATTTCTCTTACAGTTTCTCTTCACAATAGATGTTGCACAATAAATTTCCTTTTCACTTTAGTGACACTAAAAGCATGGCAAAAGAGCAGAATGATATTGAGTACAAAACTTCCAAGTAAGTGATTGATCATTTTCAACAATTATTTAAAATATGTATGCTTTTACAGACTCGACAAACGTTTGTCAAAAGAAGTGAAAAATCTGATTTTGCAACTATTCGAACCAGAAGAGTCAAATCGGCCTACCTTTGAGCAAGTACTACAGCACAACTGGATTCTTAAACACAAAAAAGATTAATAATGTGTGCGCCGGGGGTGTTGACCGCCCCCTTTCTGTTCTCTCTCTCTTTTTCAATTTCTCTATGTTTATAAAAATTAAAACTTTTAACAGTATAACAGTACTTTTGTTCTGGTTCNGGTGTGCGCCGGGGGTGTTGACCGCCCCTTTATATTCTCTCTCTCTTTCAATTTCTCTATTTTTATAAAAATTAAAACTTTTAACAGTACTTTTGTTCTGGTTCAATTTGTTGGTGATAACGGAAGTTAGGACCTTTGCCTTAGCATGTCTTAGCGTGTTTGAAATTGATGTTATCAGCAGATGCGATAGCGCTATCAGCAGTCAGACTTGCGGAACCCCTAGCGCCGTCTAGTGGCAAAAAATGCGTTTAATTATTTGAAAAACTGAAAAAACGAGAAAACAAAAACTCAGTTAAAAAGATCAACAATGTCAGATTTGAGAAAAGCTTCGTTTTTGAGCTGTAGGCTTCATGCGATTGATAGCTTCTATCATCAAGTCGTAGTGCATATCCATTAATTTGTGAGAATCATCAGTGACTTTGTTCATTTTGGTAAAAATAAAATCTTTGCCTGCTGCTTTGGCTGACTCATATGACTTCTGGTAAGCATTTTGACTTGGAAAAATTTGAGCCAATTGCATTGCAAGTTCTTCCTTATCAGTTTCAAGTGCCAGATAAAAAACAAAAAAATATGTTTTAAAATTAATTTTTTATGCTCAATATACTTACTTGGAAAACTTTTAAAAATTGAATTTCAATCAGTTTTTCACTCTCCGTCATTTGAATATTTTTAAAAATAAAGTTGGTTTTGTCATCATCAAAAAGTTGTCGAGCAAAGGGTGACAACTCAAACTCCTTTTTCATGTTTTGGCCACTGGCGTAGCAAAACATCAAATGGAGCACATGAGCCCCCACAAGCTTGCGCTGTTCCATGTCGTATTGCAGCAAACAGCCAGTGCTTCCATATAACTGGTTGGTGATGTTGCACCCCACCATTGCTGCTATTAGGCAGACTTCAAATTGACATGCTTTTGTTTCGTCTATCATTTGACTTTCGCAAAATTCAACTTTAATGCATGCTTTGACCATGGCAGCAAGCAACTTTATTTTGGGGCAATCCTATTAAATATGTACTTTAAAGTTAGTACTCTAAAACCGAAACTGGTGTGCATGTTAAACTTACATTTCCTCTTAGTTTGAGGTGTATTTTTGGTCGGTCTTTTCGACCCTTGCCAATGTAAAAAATATAAGAAAGAAAAATCAAAAAAGCCTTCTGTATGTCTTTGGGATCTTTTTTCTTAAACTTTTTGCCAAACATTAAAAAATAAATCTTGACTTGTTTTCTTGCAAAATTGCCAGACCCCATAAATTCACTAAAAATTTTGCGAGCGTCGGTCCAGTTAAAAGTGCCGTCAAAAAAACTTTGAACTTCAGAACAAAAATCTTCAATTTCCAGAATCTTTGGAAACTCCCCTTCTTTGTTTCTACCAAGACATCGACGATTGCTTGCTTGATCACCTTGGTTTTCGTTCATGGTTGCAGTTAAGTTGAAAAAGGGCAAATGATAAAATTGTGTAAAGTGTTTTGTACGTAAACTAAGGTTTTTAATATTTCGATTTTTAAAATCAATTTTAGAATAATGTATTTTATTGTAAAAATTGTTTGTAACTAACCGGCCCTAGCTCTCAAACGGCTGGGAGTACTTCAATTCTGAAAACAGGTTCCTTGTCCTCTACTACTTAGCTGTTACTATGCCAAATTTGGTGGCAATCGGTACAGCCGTTTAAGAGAATTAGGCTGGAAACTACAACATTTTCCACCGATTTTGACCCGATCGTAGACTGTCACTTACAAAAACACCTCGCTTCGCTCGGTGTTTTTGTGCGCTCCAGTCAAATATGTATGCTTTTACAGACTCGACAAACGTTTATCAAAAGGAGTAAAAAATCTGATTTTGCAACTATTCGAACCGGAAGAATCAAATCGGCCTACCTTTGAGCAAGTACTACAGCACAACTGGATTTTAAAACACAAAAAAAGATTATCAATCTCAAATAAATTCTACAGTTTTTGATGACTTCAATTCGAAATATTTGTTTTTAACACAGCAATTTATAAAAAGCATATTTTATGCAGTTATGACACTCAACGTGTGACACTATTTGTTTTGACTAGCTACTACGTTGTTTAAATTTGCAAAAACGACAAACAACACTGCTGAAAAAATTACTTCATCAACAAATATCATTGTCCGTTTACCTGAAAATATGATGATGCCTGACAGTAAACTTTTTGACGTGCTGGCATCAAATCGAAAAAACATGTCAACTGGCAACTCAAGTGAAAATGAAAGGATCAGCGATGGTTCATTTGGTCGTTTTCTAGTCTGGCTCGGATTGTTTACCGTTTACAAAGTTATGCACTTTTTATTTCCGCCATTGATTTGGCGATTTAAAAGTATATCAAAAAAGATCATCCTTTGAGTTCTGAATGGTTCTAAAGTTGTACTCAACAATTAATGTTTATAATATAATAGTAAAAAGCACGGTTTGAGCTGCAGTTAACTGCGAAGCAAAGTATCCACACGAATCAGTCGAATATTACTACGAGTCACTAGGGCAACTGAAGAGAATGGACTGCTTTTCTGTGATGAGCCAGAGCACAGTGAAATAGCATTGTAGTGAAAGAAGAATTTCTTTCCGGCACTGCCATGCTTCCCGTCTGTTTCCACTTTTGCCGGGTGACTACGAATCATGCAGCAGAGGCGATTGATCTGACAAAACTTCCGAAAAATGTCCTCGCCATTGTAGCCTTTGTCGGCTTTTGACGCGTCATCAAACACGTCGCTTGACCTAAAACAAATGAAAAATGAGTTAATGTTTGGAGTAGTTTAAAAGAAACTTACAGAATGTCACGTGCGCATGCATCCTTCAGTGGACTGCTGAGGTTTCGCTCCATTGTTGAATTGATACTTTGCAGCGATTGCTTAGTGCAAGGAAACCCCGATGAAGAGCAGAATATCTTCTCCTCAATGGTGGCACCGAGAGGCATAAAGTTGAATACCTCACTAGCCAAGTTCCAGACATCCTCATTGGCGAATCGATCAACACATTGCTTGTAGAAAGCATTGTCAGTTGTCTGTCCAGGTGGGCACTCTTGAATGCCACGTAGAAGAATAAACCGATGAGGAGTGAGTATTTTCATGCAGAGAATGTAAATGAGACACTCTAGACTGTGGGGCTGTGTGCCAATGAGGTTGCCCAGGAAGATGTAGGTGAACTTGTTGATTCGTGGAGACGTATTCCACAGCAAGTGGGCGTATACGAGCAGATCTTTTAGATTGCCGTAAAGACCACTGATGACAAGACAGGGAGAGCTGGCGGCAACAATTTTGCTCTCTTGTTGCATGCGCGATCGGCCAGCACTGAGAATCTTCATGATTGCGTCTTGAAACTGAACACCGCTGGAGAAGTACCACAGCTTGGTTACCTCTTCAAGCGTCTCCTGTTGGTTGTGACTAAAGAAGTGCTTTCCCAAACTGGTCACCTTGTTCACCATAATGAGCGCTAAATCGTACAAATCGTCACGTTTGATTTCCATTGCGAATGGTATCTTGTCTCGGGGTGTTTCAACTGATCGTGACAGTACACTGCTCGACTCGGATTGATGCTCTACCTGAAGGTTGATCAGTCGAGACACCTCGCCGTTCAGAGAAATTAGTATAGCTTCGCCTAAAACGGTAAATCGGGTACCACGGCAGATTTGACAAGCTTTGTTGTACCGCGCTTGCAGCGCCATTGAAGCCAGCACTGACTTGTTGGCGTACACTGACGTCGAGCCATAGTCAAATTTGATGGAAATAACCAAAAGAATGTTGCTTGATGAACGAAAGATAATGCTGGTCAGCTGGCAGATAGTTTTGTTTGCAGTCACCTGTGCGATAAACTGCTCCATATCTAGGTACGTCTCTGGTGATCGACTGATGGCGTTTGAAAAGAAGCTGCTCACCATTTTGGCCACTTCACCTGACTTAAAGTGCTCATTGTCTTTGTTCTTGGCGACGATATCGTTGTTCAACTGAGACAAATCAGCCAGTTTCAGCTTTCCAGTGCCATTGGTGTCGTAGTAGCGAAAGATGAAACCAAGTCGAAATTTCAATGCAGTTCCGCTGTGTGGTGTGGTCGTGTCCAGAGCTGCCAGACCGAGAAGCAGCTCTTCAAAGCATAGATAGCTGTGCTTGCTGCTGAAAGCTTTAAACAGTCGAGTCAATTCATCTCCCTGCAGATTCAGCTTGGCCATAAAAGACTTGAAAGAGTGAAAGTTCATGTACTGCGAGGGGAAACAGTGACCAACGAACTCATTGTACAGGCGAACGATGGCCAGCTTGTTGTACTTGGCACTGTGCAACAGCTCACCTGAACCGTTTTGCTGACCGGGAACGGCGCTTTGAGAGAGAAGTCGGCGAAAACAGTCTCTCACCGAGCAGTCGACGTAGTTCTTTGTCAGCTGAAACTTGCCAATGTCAGCCTCCTGTAGCTGACTGAAAAAGAGAGATACCTCGGGACCGAGAAACTTGTTGCCACTTGCAGACAGATCTTCAGCGCCCATCCAGATTATGGAGGATACGCACACTCTGCAGTAGCAGCTGGTGCCCCCATTCCCCTTTTGCTTCTCCCCTTCCGCCACTTCAGGCTCAATCATAACAAGGACGGTGATTCGAGTGTAGAACTGTCGTGTCTTTGGCCACTGCACTCTGAAGATGTCCATCATTTCCGCCTCTGAGCATCGACCACGGCCGCAGTTGTTCTCGTTTCCCAGGCGCTCTAGAAGACGTTTTATGAGGGTTTGTGCCACCTTTCGCCATGATTCACTTGATCGATAGGTGATGTAAGGTAGGTACAGTCCCTTGGGCATCCGCTTGATGGCCAGACGGGCGTGCGCTTTGCAGTACAGCAAAAGACAGCAAACGTTATCGAGAGAGTCATCGCGCTCAATGAGGACCAAGTTGTTGTTCACTCGCTCCAAAAGAGTACTCTCTGTGCCAAAGCCAATGCTAACCTGACTATCCACGTGTCCACTAGTCATCTTTGTTTGAAAAGGCAGAAAAATGAAAGCATAACACACGGCCCACAAGGTTTGAAAGGGCTTACATTTATCTAAAAACTGTTTAATTGTTACGCAATTGGGTGTACAACTTAGAACTTTTGCCGATGTTGCTGCCAAAACTAAAGCTGACAACTTTTACTAACAAAAAGCGTTTTTAATGTTTTACAATAGTGAAAATGGCAAAAATTTTAATGTTTTTTCCNAATGGCCAAAACTTTAATGTTTTTTCCTAGTACTTGAGCTTGTCTTATCTGACTTGCTTGTTNCAACTTAGAACTTTTGCCGATGTTGCTGCCAAAACTAAAGCTGACAACTTTTACTAACAAAAAGCGTTTTTAATGTTTTACAATAGTGAAAATGGCAAAAATTTTAATGTTTTTTCCTAGTACTTGAGCTTGTCTTATCTGACTTGCTTGTTGATTTATCTTTCTTCTTTTTTCTTTTCTTTAGTTTGCTATCTTGTGAGAGCATTTGCGAATCAGTAGACAGCGAATTGCTTTTTCCAATTGCCTTTTGTGCTTCAACGTACTTTTTGCGCAGAAACACTACTAGAAGTACTGCCAAAACAATCAACGGAATGACGATAAAAATGGCCAATGAGAGACTTTTGAGCACACGAAAGCCCACCGAGGGACACTCAAAGTCAGTAAATGCACTGTGGTCGCAACTGTCCCCATTACTGGCAATCTTCTTCATGAACTTGACCGTTTCAGTGGCGGCACTGATGTCGCAGTCTTTACAAATGTGGTTAAGCAAGCATAGTACGGCTTTGGGATGAAGTGTACAGCCTTCGACCGGCGCTCCATGTTTTTTGTTGCATGCATCCTCATGGTTTTTTCGCACATCTTTTCCACAGGCATCAACTGCATTTGAAATAGAGCTTTCATCATCATTGTTGACGCTTGGCTCTGATACGGGAGGCTCTTTTTCTGCAAAACCAATCGCAAGTAGCGTCAGTAGCACACTGGTAATGCAAAGTTGAAGGTAAACGTTTGATTTTAGCATGGCAATCTTCAAACAAAAATTTATTGTACTGAAAAAGGCAACTAAAACTGTCGCCTTTTGAATGCAATCGAATTTACGACAATAATCAACTTTATTAAAAAAAATTTTAAATTAAAATAAAATTGGCAGTTGATGTATGGCGATATGGTTTGATAAAAACACAAAAANGAATGCAATCGAATTTACGACAATAATCAACTTTATTAAAAAAAATTTTAAATTAAAATAAAATTGGCAGTTGATGTATGGCGATATGGTTTGATAAAAACACAAAAAGCTACATATTTTAAAAAAATGTCATTTAAAAATATCACTTTATTATCGTCTTTCAAACTGAAGAGTAATCTTGTTTTTAGGTCCCATTGTGGTTCCGATTGCCAATTCAATCTTGTTCATAGGTAGCACTGAGGTAATTCGATATTTGCGCAATATTGAAGCAATCAACGCCTTTGTAGTTTGAAGAGCAAATCGCTGTCCAATACCTAAGAAGAAATAACAGCAGTTTTAAAAAACAAAAAACTTTAACCATCATTTAACTAACAGTTGCGTGGACCAGCTGAGAATGGGACAAAGGCAAAAGCGTGCCTTTCATTCATGTTTTCAGGAGAAAACCTATCTGGATTGAAGACTTCGGGATTCGGAAAGTACTTCGGGTCACGATGAAGAACGTAATGAAGCACTAAACAAGTTGTGCCGGGAGGAATAGTTCGTCCTTTAATTTTAAACTCTTCGGTAATTTGCCGAGCAATAAAAAGTACTGGTGGGAAAAGCCTCAGCGTCTCTTTGATGCACTTTTCAAGGTATTTCATCTCTCGTAAATCTTCAAATTTAATCTCACGGTCAGGACTGTCACCGTAAATTGTGTCAAGTTCTTCGTGAATTTTGGTTTGCACCTCAGGGTGATTTCCAATTAGTTGCAGAGCAAACTGAATAGTCGCAGAAGAAGTGTCCTGTCCGGCGCTCATGAACGTGTCCACTTCAGAGCGAATGTCCTCATCAGACAGTGAGTTGGGGTCTTTGATGTTTTGAGTGAGAAGATTGTCCAGAAAGGCAAGCACTCGTTTAGTGCCAATGTCGTTCATTGTCGCCTCAAGGTCAGCTCCGCCGGTGCGCATTTTGTCAAGAATCTCCTTTTTCTTCTGCTTGATAACTGTCACTGTGAAGTTGTGTAGAAACTTTATAGTTTTGCGTTGCTCTATTCCAGTTGGTGTCATCTGGAAAATCAAGTCGTTCCACAGCCATGGCGAGAGAAAACGAAGTGTGAACAGATCAAGCACCTTGCGCACAGCTTTGGAGTACTTTGACTCGGGGTCAGTCTGTGCGTTGATGTTGACCCCCATTGCGGTTTCTGCAAACAACACAAAAACGGTGACTCGCTGTTTACTTTTAAAACTACAATGCCTTACCACAAATGATGTCCAATGCACAGTTGGTAATGATTGGCCGAATGTCGTCAATAACTCGGTTACTGTTCATCTTACTCTCAATCAAGTCCAACATGATTTTTTGCTGTTTTCCAATAATTGGCACAAAACTTTCTAAAATGCGAAAATGGAAGGCAGGCGTAAGCATTTTTCGATGAACCCTCCACTTGTCTCCAGTACTGGTGAAAAGACCAAGACCGAGCCAAGGAATGGCAAAATCAAACTCTTTTGACTTGTCAATATTGACATTGCTAGTGAGGACGCCCTATAGTTTGAAGAGATTAAAATTGAGTGATTTTATATTTAAATTTAGTTAGCAAAAAATACCTCAGCGCACTCTGCGTCAAAAATAACTACAACTGGTTGAGTTGGTCCGATCCAGAAACGCATAAAGCCAGCGTTTTGAGCTTGATAAATTTTAGTAATGCCAATGAAAGTGTCAAAAATTTCTAAACGTACAAAAGTAACTTAACTAATACATTCAAACACATCATTGAAGTTACTTACGCTGAAACCAGTCATTGCCAGAGTTTTGCCAGAGCAGCCCAAGATGACCTAAAAGAAATGAGGTCACAGGAGGGCCGGAAATTTGCTCAATCTCCTGTGACACCTTCACCATTCGCTTGTAGGCACTCCATAAGCGTACGATGGCCCATATTGTGGCTGTGCCCAAAAGGGTTAGTGTTACCGGAGAGAGGCTCCACAGAGAAAATAGCATGACTGCTAAGACTGCTGTGGAATGAAAGCGATTCCTTTATGTTTGGTAAACGGTCTGAATCGTTGATCTAAAAACTTGGTAACAAAACTAGAAAATACTTTTTCATTTCTAAACTAAAAAGCGGTTAAGTTCACTGTACATTATATCTTCAACTATTTAATGGTTAAGATGTTTGCGGTTGTCTAGCCATACTGGCGCAAAAAAGCGCCTCTGATCCGTCGGTTTAGATTACACGCCAATGTTCTCATTGACGCATCAAAGGATGAAAAAGAACTGGTCTTTATCGACTAGCAAGCTTCCTTAAGTTTATGTAATAAATCAAGGTGCAATGCAAATGAATAGGCTAGTTTCAATTTTAAAATCAAGTAGTCAGAGTTGTTGAAGACAATAATTTATTTTGAAATAAATGAATTGCATCTAATGGAATATGTGCATTGTTCACTCATCCAGGCATTTGCTTTGTCGACGCCAGGTAGCGGAGCCACAACTTGATTTTGATGAAATGGAAGAAATAGCGCCAGCCAAAGGAAGATTACTGATCGACAAGTTAGGCAACGATGAAGAAGAGTTACGTGAAATGTCCGAAAATGCACTCTTATCAGTGGTGCTCTCTTCAGCAGACAGTGGCTTCTCGACTACGGGAGGAGGGTGCAGAAAGGAGAATGGCACCTGCTCGTTCACAATCGCCGCTGCAGCCTGAAGGTCTTGCTGACGTAATTCAAAGCGCATCACACTCTGATCGACGGCACTGAAACGCGTCTTCTCAATGGGAAAGTACAGCTGGGAGATAAACTCTGTCTGAGATAGTTGGCTCTTCAGTTGAATGACCACTGCTTTCATGGCAGTGAACAACTGGCTGCTCTCCGCTTTGCTTTTGATAAAGGCCACTAGAGCTGGATCAAAGAAGAAGCACAGATCCTGGTAAGTGGGCCACTCATGACCTCGTTCAACATGGAAATACAGATGCATCTCTCCTAAGTGCAGCACTTTTGAATCGCCACTCTTCACTGGAAGTCTACTGCCCAGGTAAAACACTCCGTTGTCGTCCATCTTCTCTTTGCAGTTGCCTTCCAAGTCAATCAGCACTTGTTCTTCAATGCCAGCCACAAAAACGTTCCAGCGCATTCGCCAACTCCAAATGGATCGGTAGAGAGGTTTTGGGTAGTTTCCGGTAAATAAACTTAGCAAAAAAGTAGTCGATTGAGACTGCGGTGACTTGTCCATGAGGCTGGTTTCAGTCTTGTTGTCAAGCTGCAAGTAATTGCTCAGTTCCGAACGCCAAAAACACCACTTCTGGCGACCATGCTCGTCGAAAATGTTTGTAAAGTTGCCCCAAGTTTTGCGAAAGAACGTTTCCACACTGCTACGTGAAGTGCTCAGTGCATGAATTTCAAGATGGTCGTCGTCACTCATATTTAGACCATGAGTTTCCGAATAACTGAGAATGCGATCGTGCATCGTTGGCTCCAGTAAATCATGTTTATCAAATAGGTACCAGCTACAATCACTACGGTTGTCCAATTTTTGAGTGTCATCACTTTCTTGCTGTGCATCAAAACGGCTTTCATCGGCGTCAAAAATATCACCGGAAAGTAATACTGAGAAGTGGTTACGAACTGGTTGCTGCTTCTTAACTTGACTGAGAGGATAAATGTTTGGCTGGCCAGCTCGGCGAGTCTTCGGAGAGAGGTTTACCAGAAAGTTCTGCCAA